TTTTGTGTGTTATGAATTTTAAGTTATTTTTAATATATAAAAAACTAAATAAAAGTATACAATTTTCGTGTCAATTTCGGGTTCACAGATCAGTTTCGTGTCACAGGTTATTTTCGTGTCGTGTCGTGTCAACCCATAAAGTGGTCGTGTCGTGTTCGTGTTGCGATTTTTAAAAAATTTCGTGTCACGGGTCGTGTTCAGGTTGACTGCAAATTTAAAAAGAACCGATCAAAACACGACACGAACATGACACATGAATTGTCACCCCTAGTGACTACCAACACTTTCATCAGCACAAACTTAATGCTGATGACCTCTGCGATCTCTTTAAAGAAATTTAGAGGCCGATAGCCCGTCTAAAAATCCGAACCACCTAGCCTAGAAAAACACCCTCTCTTTGTTCTTGCAAAGTCTTTCTCTCAAACTTTCACTAAAACTATTGGATTGGCATTTTTCTTCGTGTTTTACTCTGTAATGACTATGGTTTTTATTTTGAGTTTCTATGTTTTCACACCTCTGGATTGCTTCTATGCTATGGCTTAGTTTGGTATTGTTTTTTCCTCCCAAAATCAACTTTTGCTTGTAGCAGAAGCTCATTTCTGATTTTACTGTTTGGTAAATCTCCTCAAAAGTATTTTTTGAAGAATTTTTCAAGAATCTACAGCCAAAATCAGAAACAGCCTAAAGACAACTTTAGCTTTTAGATTGTGCGGGAATCAACATAGTACAATTAATGAAATTTTCATACTACCAATAATACCCTTAATGAAATTTAAAATTTACAATCTTTCCAAGCTAAAATTTAGACTCATAATAAAATAAAATAAAATAAAATAAAATATAATAGTTATATTGTAACAAATAATATCATAATTATATTAATAACTCTAATATTATTATTTTATCATATAATATGATATTATAATTATAATATAATATATATAATTATAATATAATATATATAATTATAATATAATATATATAATTATAATATAATATATATAATTATAATATAATATATATAATTATAATATAATATATATAATTATAATATAATATATATAATTATAATATAATATATATAATTATAATATAATATATATAATTATAATATAATATATATAATTATAATATAATATATATAATTATAATATAATATATATAATTATAATATAATATATATAATTATAATATAATATATATAATTATAATATAATATATATAATTATAATATAATATATATAATTATAATATAATATATATAATTATAATATAATATATATAATTATAATATAATATATATAATTATAATATAATATATATAATTATAATATAATATATATAATTATAATATAATATATATAATTATAATATAATATATATTTATTATTATATTTAATATAATACAAAAAATTATTATTAAATAACATATTATATAATAATAATTTTTTGTATTATATTAAATATAATAATAAATATATAATATAATATAGTCGTAATTTTTAATTATTTACAGTAAGTCAACATCATAATTTACCAAACGCTATTATACTGATTTTGGAACCATCACAGCTACTATAATTATAGTTTACCAAACACTCGGCTGCTTTTTATAACAGCTGTTTCTTCCTTCAGCACAGCTAAAAGTAATTTTTTTAAAATTTACAGCACTACCAAACTAAGCATGTGTTTTGTGTGGTGTTAGTACAATAAGATTATTGATTTTGGTCAATTGAAATGTTTCGTCAATTGTGGAGGATCAATGTGTGCTTGATATTTGGTATATTTATTTGGGTGTTTGATTTTGAATTTCAGTATACATTTCTGTCTCTTTAGCATTTCAATATAATTTTACTTGTATCTTTGTTGTTTTTCTGTAGTCAAAAGCTGTGCGAGACAAAATAGGTGTCTGTGAATATATTTTTCTCCTTTAAAAAGAAAAAAAGGAATATTGGCAGCCAAATACTTTTTAATCCTTTTAGTTACAAGTAAATTGTTATCCTAGAGCTTGTTTGGTAAGTCTATTTTAAATTATGTTACAGTATTTTAAATCTTATAAAGAATTTGAGTTTAAAATTTTGTTCTCTTATAAAATTTATGTTAATAAATTAAAATTACTGACTTGAATATATACTCTAAAAGGGTCCTTGTTATTTAAGGCCGGTGGCAAGGTGAATGCATAGGTTTTTTTCCCCCTTGAAATTACGATCTTCATCTACTTGTTTTTTTTTTTTCCTTTCCGATCTTCATGTACATTTAAGAGTGAGAATTTGATGGCATTACATATTGCCACTGATGTCGCCTTTCTAATTAAAACGTGCAGGTGCAAGGTTTCTATCAAACCAAATTTTCCTCCTAATAACTCTCGTCTTAATTGATAGAAGAAAGATAATTTTTGTTCATTTAAATGATGTTGCCTTTTTGTTATTTTGAACCCTCTTTTTATCTCATAATTTTCTTATAAAGCTCATCGCTAGCTATCAAAATCCACTTTCAGCTCCAATTGTGTATTAGTAATGCCAGTAACTTGCCCGTCGCCATCAATTTCCATAACAAATGGAGCAAATAACTAGCTTATTTGTCAAATGGTCTAAAACTTTAAGCATTAAGTGAAGGTATTTTCTCAGGTGAAGTCAGTTTATAACTGTTAAATTTAATTAAAATTATATTAGATTAAAAAATATGCAAAATAGATGATTATTGATGCAAATTTAAAAATTAAAAAATAACATATTTATTAGTTTAAATATTTTTTTAGTGCCTATCGGAGAAATATTCATAAATGAAAAGGAAACGCAACTTTCTCTTTTTATTAAGCGATACAGCTATTAGTTTAGGATAGTTGAATATAATTGACACAATTTGCAGACATTAATCACTGTTTTGGATGCGCGCGTTGTTTTTTGCTCACCAAACAAAGGAAATGGGTTCGGAACTATTCTATTTTTATTCCTGTCAAAAGAGCCTGCCCAATAGTAAACTAGGAATCAAAATAGGATTCGCACCCAAAAATTAAGAAATAAAAATAAAAAATAATAATGCAAATAAAAAATAAAGACATGAGTGTCTAAGGGTTCGTTTGGTTGGAGGATTCAAATCATGTGATTCGAACTATTTTTGATTTATGTGTATTTTTTATGAAAAAAAATACTGTAATAAATCACGAATCATTATTTAAATCAGAAAACGAATCCCTCTACCAAACGCTCCCTAACTCTCGTGAAAGCAACGCTTCATTGAAGAAAAATTTTCCAACATCTACTCACTGTGCATGACAGGGCAGCCATCTGGTGGAGGCTCATCTGATTGCTTTCTGAGAAAGTGGAAATGCAAAAAGAAAATAAAAAATTGCAAAATGAAAACACTTTACCCACCTTACAATTTTTAAACCAATCAAATCAAATTTATTGATTTCTTTTTTATTTTAAGGTAAATTTATTGATTTATTTTATTTTGACTGCTCCATCAAATCTAAACTTTAAAAAATTAATATAACGGTAAAAAGACAGGACTTTACTAGTGGGGGGTTTTTTTTTTCACCGTAAAAATGGTCTATTTTAATATAATTTTAGAGAATTTTCATAGTAAGGAATGTTCTTTTTAACTAGCACAAGAACTATTATTTTAACTGTTGGCTTAAATTCTTAATTACCTAATCTTTAAGTGCTTGCATTAAAAATTTATAGTGAAGGACACAAAAATTGCTCTAATCACAAATTCGCCCAGTGAAAGAGTATTCTAATAAAGAAAATCCCGCTATATAAATGTGTTATAATTTTCCTTTTTTCTTGTCGAATGAAAAATGGAAATTTTTCTTTTTTTGCAAAATAATAATAAAAAATGGTCGTAACTATTGAATAATAAAATAAAATAATGTTTGGTATGACTTTGAAAAGGGGGTGGTGGGAGAAGAACCGCGTCGACTCGCTACCTCCGGTGAAACCAATGAAATTGGTGGGGCCACCTTTAATATGATGCGCACCACAAGTCAATTCTGCACCGTTCAAGGTTGAACCACTCTTTAGTCTTTGTCCATGATGAATTGAAGACCCTGAACCTTGTCCATTTTGTGGGTTCTTGTATCTTTCACTTGGAAAGGTCAATCAAACTTCATGGCTTTCCTTTTCAATTTTTTTTTCATATGTTATATATTTTTTCTTTAAAAAAAATCAATTTGATACGATATATTTCACCACTTTATCACATAGTATTTGAACAAACAATCTCATTGTAATACCTAATTTCTTTTTATAAATTCATGCCCGTACGTTGGATCTATTTTTGAAAGCATAAGTCATTTTTACCCTTTTTGAAAAGAGTTATTTTTACCCTTAGTCTGAAAATAAATTTAAAAGAAAAAAACATAATTTTTAATTAGTATCTAACCAATTAAATCATGTCACGTCATTTAAAAAAATTAAATTATTTGTTAACTTACTCTTTTATGCTTATCATGTTTAATTGATTAAACACTAATTAAGACACAAAAAATTAGACAGTAAATTTAGATCCAAACTAATGACGTATTAAAGATCGATCAGCAAAAAAAAAAAAAAGTAATGTGTTAATGATAAATTATCATATTTACACCAATTTTTGTTATGCATAAGAATATTAATATTCCGTAAAATCTAGGCTATTATCATTGATACAATTTATTGAAGTTATTGCAACTATTGAATAACTTTGAGATTGTTTTACTAATATTTTTGAGTAATCTTGATAAATACATCTTAAAAGTGCATGAGTTGAGATTTTTACACTTTATTCTTGATTCATAACCTTTTTAGTCAAATAATTACACTAATAAAAGGATAATTATCAAGAGTAAATGGGTAAAGGTCTAGACTCATACACTCTTAACAATAAATTCTCCATTTTTTCAATATTTTTCTTCACATAAAAGAAAACATTGAAGAATTATATATCAAGCAAACTCATCATCAATAGACAATATACATCATCTAAGTACAGATACTTGTTGATTGAAAAATCTGGTTTCACAATTCCAGTCTTGAAGAATTGCCAATGTTTCAATCTTGGGGTTATATACTTTACTATATGATAATACATATTTACATCAAGAAACTTTGTCTAATATGTAACCAAACTTGGAACAAAACAAAAATTCTTTCCATTAAACTATCTTCTATCTCAATTGAAAGTTCAATGTCTTGATGCAGTAAGCAAACATGAATGCAAAGAAGACACTGAAGCCAACCAAAACTACAGCAACTTGTCCCATGAAATTTGGGTCGTACCCAAAATGGTTCTCTATGTACCATTTGATTGTGGGTTTAATTGACATCCCAGGAACACTAATGGTGTCTTCAACATCACCGTACTGTGACACAATCAGTCCGTACACTGTCCATGCCACTGGGCAAATCCAATAGTACCAAATCCACCACTTGGGTATTCTCTGAAAAATTCAACACAATTTAATTAATGGGTTGTTCAAGTTATAAATGCAGAGCAGTGTATTTATCATCATTAGTAGTTGTATGTCACTACAAATTTTCAAAAGAGAATGAAAATCCATAATTGACCATCGAGTTAATCATCAGTAATTGACCGGTAAATTATTAATCAACATTGATTAAAATTATCAGTCAATCATTGATTGATAGATCATTTTTTTTTAAAAAAAAAAACTATCATTTTTCTAATGGAACAAAATTTGACATTTGTTAAAATAACGCTTTTAAAAAGGGCATTATATCATAATTCACGCTTGAGATCACATATTATGATACGTGGACACACATAATTTTACATGTCAATTTTACTATCAATGATACTTTAAATAGCTACTTTTTGTACTCACCGGTTTTGGTATAAAGAAACCGGAGAAGAGATTGAAGAGAGCATAGAAAGCGGCTGCGAAGATGGCTGCTACTTGGTGGTTTGGTGTGATTGAAATGGTCATCATTCCATAGTATGTGAAGTATAGGAAGGAGAAGAAGTTCACAAAGAAGAACCAGAAGAATTTGGCCGCTGTCCATTGGAAGCTCACCATGGCATACACTATGAGAGTGTAATATGACGTTTGGACAAACACATATGGGATTTCAGCTATCATCTGCATGTCACGTGATTATGCTTCAATCAGTGGGGTCAAATAGAATTTAGCTTGAGTTTATTGTAAACTTGTTCATTTACGTGTTCTTGTTAAATTTAGAATACTAATATTTTCACCGATATCGATATTTTCATCTTGTGTCACGCACCTGTGCAAGAGCGTAAGGTAAAGCGGAGTACATTCCTGCAGCTCTTTCTCGATAGAACACTGTTCTTTCTACGGCCACTACTGGCTGCACCGTCGAGCAGTTGTTAATTCCCACAAACAGCACGGAAGCATACATAGCTCCAATGATCATGGTCAGATCAACAGTGCTCTCCCTGATGGTGGAAATACAGTTATGGATATAACAAATTAAGTACCTTTTTTTTCCAATCCGAAATATTAAAAGACTGAATTTGTTTTGATGTAAGAAGTGGATACAAACCTTTTAGTTCCAACCTTCCAGAAAATAGTTCCAAGCATTAATGCACAAGCCAAGGTGAAAAAGTATCTAACGAGGTTATAATCAGGACTTCTCCAATAAGTCCACCATTGCTTCCATAGGCAAGATTTGAACTGTCCCCATGTTGACTGAGAATACTGAGTTGGGAAGTAGAGGTCTTTTGCTCCCGGTGGTGGCTTACTTAATTCCTTTACCAAAGACTTGTTTCGCCTGCACATAAGGCTTATATGTCAGCTCAAGACCAAAACAATATAGGAACCATAATTTTGCTAAACATATATATATGAATACAAAATGACTTACTTGTGCAAGGATGATGATTTGTAGTATTCAGCAAAGTCCATCTTAAGGCGGACTTCGGCTGCTATTGAGCTTACTTCCAACATCCACGTCGCTGGATTGTACTTTGGTTTGATTTTTGGCACTCCAGGAATTGCCTGCACCAAGTGAAAATTTAGACTCAGCTACTGCATTTGGTAAAAAAACTCCACTGGACAGAGGGAAAGTTTTAGGAGCATGTAAATTAGTACCTCAAAGTATTCAATGACCTTTTGAGAGTTGCGGCCCAAAGGTCCAGCGTAGATCACTTGTCCTCCTCTCTTCATCAACAGGAGCTATTGCACAAGTGCAAAATTGTATCATATAAAGTCAAAAGAGAAAAAGAAAGGAACAAATAAGAGTGATTGAAAGATAGGTGAAGTTGTTTTTAGCTTTTCCTTACCTCATCAAAGGCTTCAAAGATATCAATGCTAGGCTGGTGAATTGTACAGACAACGGTTCTTCCAGTGTCGACGGTGTTTCTCACGGTCCTCATAACAATAGCGGCCGCCCTTGCATCAAGACCCGAAGTCGGTTCATCCATGAAAATGATTGAGGGATTAGCGACAAGCTCCACGGCAATTGTCAACCTCTTTCTTTGCTCAGTTGACAACCCTGTAACTCCTGGAAGCCCCACTATGGCATCCTTGAGATTGTTGAGCTCCACCAATTCCATCACTTCCTCCACAAAAACCTGCAAAAAAATAAAATAAAATAAAATAAAAAAAGGTACTTTAGACTCTTGGCATTCAATTTTAATATTTTTCTAGTTGTGCAGAAAAGGTAACACAAATCATAGTTCTTACCATCTTTTCCTCATTGCTGACTTCCTTAGGGAGCCTAAGGAAAGCAGAGTAAATCAAGGACTCTTTGACAGTGACTTGGGGTGAATGAATGTCATTTTGTTCACAATAACCAGAAATTCTTGCAAAGGTTTCTTGTTTCTTTGGGAACCCGGAAATTCTAATATCGCCTTCGACATAGCCTCCCGTCTTCCTTCCTGCTAAAACATCCATCAAAGTAGTCTTCCCAGCCCCACTGACTCCCATTAGAGCAGTCAAAACTCCAGGCCTAAATGCGCCTGTCACTTCACAAAGTAGTTGCAGCCTATCCTCTGTTACTCCTTGTTCCTTCATTTCCTGTTACAGAAAACCAACCAAGTTAGCCAATAAAAAATATGGTACTTATGGCTTATCACTTGTAGAAAAATAGGACATGGAAATGGGGTTCTTACCGCGGGCATGTCCACATAATAGTTGACACTGTCAAAGGACATTGCAAGAGGAGTGAATGGAAGAACCATTCCTCTCTTGGGAGCAACTCCATTGGCCCCTTCAAGAGTCGAATCTGTGTTTCTACTTAGTCCATTCCGATTGGATCGACTGCTCATTCGTCGGATTGCCATCTCCCCTGAAAGAGTTTTTTTTTTATTTTTTATCATCACCTAATTAGAAAACTAGACAATGTAACATTCACAATGCATACCACAAATTGTCAACTTTTTTACTTTTCTTGATTCTTACTTGTGTTGTTTCCATCAGAAGCAGATAAGGATCGAGGAAACGACTCAGTCTTCGACTTAGGCCTATGGAGTCTCGGTTCTTCCTTGGATTCTTCTTGGTCTCCCTCCATCTCCTGTGCATCTTCCTCAGATATAATGGCTTGTGGTTTCCCAAGTGCTAATATTTTAATGCAAAAACATAAGAAGTTCTAGTAAACTAAAATAAGCAAAAAGGATCATGTAAATAAATCCAAATCACACATTGAGTATAGTGTTGGTTCTCACGATTTAGATACATAAGCGCGAATGTGAAAAGGACGTTCAAGAGAATCACAAACCCCAGAAGAGCTCCAGCTCCAATCCAATACCAATTTTTGTCAGGAAAAACATTGAAACTTTTAAGTACTGCCACGCCTAATCGGGTCGAATTATCCGAAGCCTACATCAAAACAAAGAATTATTCAACAAATACTAAACAAAAACCAGCTTTTCAAACAACTAAAGGAAATAAAACATAAACATTTAAGTTAAAACATACCAATTTGTTCATCCATCTAGGAGCAAACATTTCATTCACGGAAATGGCATTGAAACCATATGACATAGGTGAAACCCAGTAGCCCCACACCCACCAATTTGGAATTTTATCTGTTGAAGAAATGAAACAAGTATCTCATTAAGGCATTCAACAACTTTTATACACTATAACTAGTTTGAAATTTGTCAATCTATGTTGGTTGTTACAAACCTCGAGGAACAATGAAACCTCCAAGCATGAAAACAAGAAGTAAAGCAAGTGCCCCACCAGTGTTGGCCATGATCATTGTCCTACAAACTCCAGCAATAAGCCTAAAGATCCCAGCAGCCATTTGTTGTATTAGAAATACCAGCAATAGTTGCTTGAAGAACCTGTCAAGCATTTTAACAATCATTTATAAGTACTAGAGATAGAAAAGATCAAATCTCATTTTCCTGACTTCAAAAACATTCTAAAATGAGTCTCCAGTCTACTAAATTATTTTAAGTTAAAGACTTCGTTTGTTTTATATACTCAAACACAAAATATTGATTCTGCTATAGTATTTTTCTCTCACAAAATATTTGAATTCCAAATGTCAGAATCAAAAATCTTAATTTGATTATACCTTCTAAACATGCCTTAAATCTTTTGTCTTTTCGGTTGTTAGAATCTCAACTAAGAAAACACATACTTCCTTAAATTTGCGCTCTAACATATAAAATTACAAAACTAACTTCCACTAAAGCCGCATATGGTTTTCATGTGCTAGTCTTTTTGTTAAGATTTCAACAACAGGCGAAAATACTAATTTGAGATAATTTCAGGAAGTTATTTTGTGACGTTTTAAAAGTTAGAGACTAAAATGTAATTTTAACCCATAATATAAGGATTAAAAATGAGATTAACCCAAAAAGAGAAATTAAAAAAAAAAAAAGACCTGCTAGCTTCGGGTGCAAATCCAATGGTGTAATAAGTCATGATCATCCAAACAATGGATTCAAACACGGATATGGGAATGGTTAGGAGGGCAGTTGGGAGAGTGAAAGTCCATGCAGGGTGGAAAAGGAGGTCTCTTTGCTTGTAAAACACGGGCAGTCTTACAATGGTCAATGAAAGCTGAGAGAAGCCATTGAACATGTTTGTGATCATGGAGAACAACAGTGCACCAATAAAAACAGCACCATCTTGTTCATTTCTAGAGTGCATTTCGGTCCTCAAGAACACGGTCGAGGCTATTATGGCCACTATGATTATTTGGACCGTCTTGAATATGTAAACAAAAGAGTTTCTCTTTATCAATAGCCATTCCTTGTCAAAGCATGCCTTGAGAAGCTCCATTTTGGGGACTGAATATTTTGAGAACACAAGGGCTGCTTTGTGGCTTCGTGCCTTGTCGAATGGAACCGACAGCTCGTTTTCCAGCCGCATTCCCACGTGGAACCGCTCGAACCGGTTTGCGAATTCGCGAACCGGCACGTACCGGTACGGCTTGTTCCTGTCCGCCCAGTATTGCTCTTGGTCTTTCCTTGATGTCACCTGGAAAATGCGAAAACATTATGACATGCATGTGCACATTAGGACGTGTTACAAGCACCTACAATGTTTAAAGTGTCAAATTTTACTACTCAAATAGGAAAATTACATATACTATACGGATGTCAAATTTAACACCAAATATTAATTTGTTAAATTTTAATAATTTTCTTGTTATTGGTTGATGTATTCATTTATTTAATCGTTACAAGGTGATTATTTTCAATTTATTTTGAAATTAGAAGTTTATATTTTTACAAGTTTAAAAATTAATAATTATGGTAAAAAGGTAGCATTGAAGACAACATTATATATTAGCCTATAAAACAAAATAGCATGTTACATTTTACTTGTTTGGTGGCAATGTAACATTGATATTGATATTGATATTGTATTGGCGACAGTCTGATGCTCAAGTAAAAAGGATAATTATTAAAAAAAATAAAAATAAAAAGGACATTTAATTATGTAACTGAAGCGCAATAAAGTTAACAATTTGGCCTACCGGTGAGAATTGGTTTACCTCTTGTAAGAAATCGGCAGTTCCTTTTCTTTCGGGGCAGCGGAAGCCACAACTGGCAAAGAAGTCGAGAATGTGGTCTCGTGGGCCCTGGTAGACGATCTGGCCCTCCGATAAGAGGATAATGTCGTCAAACAGATCGAACGTCTCAGGAGCAGGTTGGAGTAGAGACATCAATATTGTTGCTTCTGTGAGGCGTACAATTTGCTGTAGGCATTTCACTATTTGAAATGTCGTGGAGCTATCTAGACCCGTTGATATCTCATCCATGAAAAGTGTTTTCGTGGGACCCACTAGCATTTCTCCTGTAATATCAATAGGGAAAAAAAATCACTTTTAGAATGAAATATTTAATACCCGTTTAATTCGTCTATTTGAGTTTTTAATTTGAGTTAAAATGTGATTTTATATGAGAATTTTTTTACTGTAATAAAAAAATTAAATATAACTGTTTCTAAAAATTTTTTTTACTGTAATAAAACTTAAATTCTAAACTCAAATCGGTGAAATAAACAATTCTTTATATTAAGGCAACTAATGGTGTAACTTCTTTTTGGCTGGTCCGCGAATGGTGTAACTTGAGTTGGAAGAATGTGAATTCAATCTCGTATGAAAAAATAATATGTAAAAAGTGTAAAAGGGATATAACCTCTTGCAAGAGACTTAATTCCTTTTTTTTAAAAATAAAATAAAATTAACAATCGTATGATATTTAATTGACAAAAAAAAAGAGTTGATGTATATATATTTCTAATTTTTTTATATAATTTTTTTGACCGAGTATAATTTAAAATTGTATTTAAAAGATTAACAATAAATTATTAAAGAATAATACTGATTAGTGAAACGGATCATAACTTATCACTCACGTAATGGTGGAATTTACCTGACAGATATACGTAGACCCCAGCGCTATGCTAGTGATAGGGTCATAATAGCCCAACCGGATTAAAAAAAAAAAAAATTTCACTGCGAAAATGGTGGGTAGGTAATTCGACATACATATATATATATATATATATATATTTGTTTTGTCCTTTAGTTGCTGATGGGCAATTCAACACCTTTTAAATTGTCAAGACCGAGTATATATGGTTTAAGTAATTTAATATTAATATCTTTGGAGCTAAATTCAATGTATACAGAAGTCCTGTCTGTACCATGCACGACTTCGTGAAGTATGACAATGGATAGTTTACTTATCAGGACAAAATTAAGAAAGATGAAGGGGAAAAAAAAAAAAAAAGCAAAGAAAATGTTTGGAAGTTGACCTGTCGTGACTCGTTTCTTTTGCCCACCAGATATCCCTCGCTGCATCTCATCTCCAACAATAGTATCCTTGCATACGTCCAGCCCTAGAATCTGCTCCATTTGTCATTAAAAAAAAAAAAAAACCAATTATACATATAAATTCTAAAATACATACATGTTGTATTTTCTTGGAAACATCTTACAGCTAATTAATCTATTTGTTTAGAAACTTGGCTCCATATTTTTTTGAGGGACTTAGGATCTTTTTCTTCTTCTTTTTTTTTTTTTTTTTTTTTTTAAGGCAATAAGTTTGGTGACCGACCATATGTGCAAAAGAAACAAATTAAGAGGACATAGTAGGCTAAGGGCCCCTCATGGCTCATGATACAGTGGCAAGAGACAGTCTATATAGTAGTCAACAAAGTAGGTGAGGAGAAAATTTTGACTATAAATTTTGGAAGGGAGAAACTACGCCTTATAAGTTTGAGTTGTTATACTTATTATACATATCATATATGGTCTCATTTTTTTTTGAAAATGGAAGTTGTATTATTGATAGCAATTTGCATAACCAAAGTCTAAGATCGTTTGTCGCCTTCCTTGAAGGATCAAGGGAAGTGGTGGATTTGGAATTTGAACTTACTCTGAGAGTGTAGTCAGTAATGAGGCTGCTCTCAACTCCTTCCATTGCAGTTGCCTGAAAATTAAATTGTGAGAAATGTAACGTTGGCTGTGACATGATCGAAACAAGTCATCAAAGTTTCTATAATTTGTTTTTTAATTAGTTTTGATTTCTTACCTTCATGTATAGGTCTAATTCGGCCTCTGGAACGATTCCGGCATCTTTTTCTCTTCTAGCAACCTCCGCAAGGAGATCTGAAACAGAATTAGTGATGATTCAAAATGTTATCAAATCTTTAAAAATCAAAGGAGAAAAATTAATTAGTTAAAGATCATGGCATTTTGATATGTGATTTGCTAAGTATGAATTACCGTATCGAGTCCCAACTCCGAGACACCTCGCTGAGAAATCTAGGGTTTCTTTGACAGTCATTTCACCAACATGAACATCATTTTGGCTAATGTATGCAGAAGTCTTTTGTGGCACAAATTCATTGAGCTTATGACCATTGTAAGTGATTTCTCCTTTGACCTGTAACCCCATCATAATTATTTTTATTATTTATTATTGACATGAGATAAGATCATATATGACATCCATCATAAATTTAGTATGACTAACCTTTAAGCTTGGATCCAACTTTCCAGCCAAAGCTAGCAAAAGGGTTGTTTTCCCTGAAGATGGGGGACCTAATAGAAGAGTCATCCTACGGCCAAAAAAAAAAATTAATAATAATAAAAAGGGAACAAAAAGAAGGTACATTATTACCTAAAAAGATTTTGACAACATTCATTATTTGGGAAAATACATAGTTTTGAGCATCTTAGAGATATTGGTGTGGTCCATTGTTACTTTCACACTTACCCTAGGAAAGTGACTTTTTCAAATCGTTTGACTTTGTTTGAGTTGGTTTTAGGAATTATTAAGGTATATAAAAAAGCAAAGTACGAACCTTGATGGTTTAACAATGCCAGTGGCATCTTTTAGAATGGTAAGTTTGGTTCTCTTAGCCAAACTAATCCCAAGACAACCAAGTGCCGATTCTGCAATATTCAGAGCAGCATTTGGGAGGGTTGGAAGTGCTCTGCTGCCAACATAGCAGTCTGCTTCAATTGTCAAATGCTCAAACCTAACCTCAACTGTTGGAAGTTTGACTCCAACCCTGAAATCACAGCAATATATATATATATATATATATATATATACGATAATTACGAATTGGAGGACTCATTTCCAGTAAATTAGCACATCATCCAAAAAACAGGAATCAGTATTTCACCTTTTTTCGAGTGTGAAGATCATTGAATAATTAAGTGAAAAAATGCCAAGAAATTAATTTATTATAAGCTAATTCGTTAACGTTTAGTGTCCTGAAACAAACATATATGATTTAATTATTAAATTGACGTTAATTAAAAAGAAAAGCCAAAAAGAGAAGAAATCATGAGCGCATAAATAATGAAAGCATAAGAATTCAACAAATCCAGCAGTTTGTACATGTCATGAACAATACTATACAGTGTATGCATGATTGCGAGTTTATTTATATATGTGTCTTTTACCACAACCACTAAGACATTGACTTGGGATTTATTTTGCTTTATCTTAAGAATATTCCATTAACCCCATGAAAAGGATAACTTAACCGTACTACTATCCTAACATTAGAATAAATTATCAAAAAAGAAAAAAAAGTTTTCCAGAAACAAAAAGAAAACACCGAAAATCTCAAATGTTAATGCGACTAAGCTAAGACACTCATATAAATCATATAATTAACCTCTTTGAACATTTGAATATGCACAAAAATCTGTTGAAAAAGAACAACTAGAAGTAGAAACTTACTTGTCAATTCTGTCTCGGAACTTTTTCAAGAACTTCTCATTATCTTCTTCAGCAACCTTGAAAATCCTATCAATGAATCTCTGCCTGTCGTTTATGTCGAGCTTTCGGACGTCGATTACTTCTCTGTGGACGAAACCATTGTTATTACCGTGCTGATTTTCAAGGGCCGGCTTGAAGATGCTCGTCCGCAGCCGATCATACGTCGGAAGCTTCTCGATGGCGGCCCACTTGAGAGCCTCCTCTTCTTCGTCCACGTGGCTGCTGCTCCTCCGAGAATGGTTTCTCGAAGCGAACATCTCCTCCATGCTCCAGCTCGCTCTGCTCACGCTCCTACTTATGCTCCGCCCCATGCTCCGCCCCCTCTCCGCCGCCTTTTCGATCCCCTCCATTCTTCTATAATTCTCCACCTTCATTTTATTGCAATGAAAAACCGCATCAGTTTGGCATCATGCGCTCTTTTTTTATATATTTAAATTACTAATTAATTACCAAAAAAATACATCACACTTAACTTACCTTATATATATAACTAGTTGAGTAATTTCTTAGATTACAAGGTAATTAATTAAAATTAGGGAGTTGGTTTATGTTGGAGTTTCGAAAAGTTTCCAACAATTTGATATTCCTATAATTTCTCACTCTTTTATTCTCTTGTTATAAAAGAGTGAGATTGAGGAATATGATTTTCCAGAGAACTAGTACCACTACAAGTCGTGTGCAAAGAGAAAGTTTGTGGCTATTTATATATACATGCAAAGGGGAGGTGATACAATCAATGATTGGATATCCTCGAGAGAAACTTCAAATTATTATTATTATTATTTTTTTTATCAATAAAATAAGACTCAAGGGACAAAGGGCCTTTAATTACTTAAAAAGTATCCAAATTTGACTACTTCCTCAATAGTGGGGTCCATATGCGGTCACGTGAGTGGCACGTGTAGTGGGGGTTGGTGACTCTAGGATAACACAGCAGAGTGTGGGTGGCTGTGGGGTCAGTCATAAAGTCAAAGAATTCCAGCGATGTGGGACTCCTTAATTTATTTTCATTTCTTTTTTTTTTTTGGAAGGATATAAAATACGGTTTCGTCTCCGGTCCGGGCGGCACATATCTTTTTAGCCTTTTAAACGTTAGTGCTTAGAAATGTATGCCACGTGTTATTTGTTTGTTTAATGTGATAGGTACTGTGGTCTGATTTGATGATAACTGGATATGGGTACAGCAGGGTAGTTGGCAGGAAGGTTTTGGTAGTATTTAAAATTAATTCTGTTTTTATTTTTCATATTTTTTAAAAATAAAAAATAAAAAAATTTAGTATAATAAAGATAAAAAATAAAAATAAAAATAATTTTTTAATTTAGTATAAAATTAGGAAGAAATAAAAAATGATATTTAGTCATTTATTATTTATTATTTTTATTTTCTCTTATCTCGAGCAGAGAGAAAGAGAGAGATATATTAATGAGTTTTTTTATACTAAAAATAATTTTTTAATAAAATTACTAAATACATTTTTAAAAATACTTTCTATCTGAGATTAAAAATGTTTTTATTTTTATTTATATACAAAAAATAAAATTATTTTGAAACGAGTTCTAAACACGCCTTTTATTTTATTGAGTAGATGGGCAATATAGTAATATAACATCAATTAAATAATACAAAAACGTTAATTGGAAATGTCTAATAGGAACGACAGTGTATCTTTTTTCATTGAATATGTAGAATGTAGGTGAAATAAGTAAAGCAATGACGTACTAACATGTACATTACTGGAATTGTATCTTTCAAAAATTGGAAGTCAATGTTGTTTTATAAACGGACGGTGGAAATTGTGATAATGTTTTTAGAATTGGTTCCAAAACATTTTTATTTTTTGTATGAAAATGAAAATGAAAACGTTTTTATTTTTATTTTGAAATTATTTCTGAAAATGCGTTTGGTAGTTTTTCAGATAAACGAGCGCAGATATTCATATAAAAACGTTTTTGTTTTTCATTTTTAGAAAATTTTACACCAAACTCGTTTTCTTCAAACTTTTTCATTTTTCATTCTCGAAAACCGTAAAAAATGGAAACAAATAGGCCCATTATTTTTATTTTCTTATGCACGATATATAATTATTAGGTTTAGTGACTAGTTGAGAAGTTAAAAGAAACAAAAGAACAAGAAAATAATTTTAGAATACAACACTACTCAAGTTGAGTTTCGAGTTAAAACATAGTGGTTTAATCTTGTAGTGTTTAACTTAGACGCTCTAAATTCCGTACATCATTTCTCGACATACACATGTCAACGTACATCTCGAAGAATGGGATTAATCGCAAAATTGGCAGTGGAAACTAGCCGCGAGTTGCCGACAGTTTACAAGACGGGTTGTCAGAACGATTAGACTAGCCGCTTATCAGACAAGTCATCAAACGTGATTGCTAACTTGGTATCCAAGATCAACACGGGAGATCCTCCTTTTCAGCGTATATTCCTAGCACAATTTTATACCTAAACTACCGGCATAACCCAACCCAGACACTAAAGTAGGCCGGGCTGAGACTAAACAATAGTAACAAGAATCTGACCAGCCGGTTTGGTCCAACCCAAATTTGTAATTATACTTACAACACTAAAGCTTTATGGATTAATCGATACTCTTGTTTGTATGAATATTGAATATTTTGTTAGGTTTTTGTGTTCTATGAATGTTCATATAAGGTTATTGACTAAGGTGTTTGTTTAAGTCAAATTACTATTTTGAGAACGTTGGAGGAAAGTTTACTCCAATACTACATATTACATATAGTCAAAATCAACAGTGATCAAGAGTTAAAAGATAATGTCTGCATTCACTATAGTTGATGTCATGCACTTCTCATATAGTAATATTGATGTGTACATATACGATCAACTATACTATTATAATTATCACAACAAAAATCTTATTTCTGATGTTATAGTAAATGATGATCAAAGTAAAAGAACCATCGTTAATCATGGATGATGAGAGAACTATTACAACCACGATTACTTCCTATTATATTAGTGCTAAGAACACTTTTTTTTCTATCCATAAAAGTTTTTTTTTTTTAAATATTTTTGAATTCTTAAATAGTATTTCTGTCATTACACTAGTCAAAATTGAGTATAGACTTGTTCAGAGTATGAACTTTGTTTCACAGTCAACATGTCCTAGTACATATGTTTGATGAAGTTCAAAATGAATGGTATACTTTCTAAATAAACCCAAATTACAATATATATTACAAAAACTTTTTTAAATTTTATTATGATTGATTGTGATATTGTAATTGATTTAGCAGGTAGAAAGTAGAAAATAATTATATTAGAAAAGATTGCACGGAAAAAATGTTTAAATAGAGACATTTGAAAAAGGAAAAAAACTCTTCACCAAGGGCAAATAAATTAGAAAAAAATATATTTAATTAAAGACATTTTTAAAAAATAGTAAATAGGAATAAATTAGAGAAAATAATCGTTAATGAGGAGGGGGCATCTATGAAATTTTGTTCATAAGGGGGCATATATAAAATGTTTTTAAAAACGGATTATTTTCATAAACACCTCTTAAGTATGTACTTTATTTCAAAGTGTTTTTTAATTTTTTAAAACAGTTCAAAACACTAATCTATAAAAAACAGGTCAATTTACCCCTTTTATCCACTTCTGTGTCTCACTTAGATGGAAAATGCATGGCAATAAAAATGAGTATTAAAAGTTAATTAAAGATATTTAAAAAATAAAAATATGTTATTTAAATATTAATAAATAAAATAAAATGAAATCCAACATTCTCTTCATCTTCATCAATGGCAGCCCATATTCATAGTCTCCTACGCCAAATTCCCCAACAATAAGCAACCACTTTCAGACCAAAGAAACCGAGACAACCCGACAAATTTCCATTAGAAACAACTTCCTACGGCGATTTTGTGGCGATTCAAATCAGGGAGAATGAAAAAAAACAAAAAGAAAGTTTTGAAAGTCACGTTCTTTTTTCTTCAATGGAGGAATTAAGCTCGTTAACTCGGAAAATTTAAATTTTCAATTTGAATTGAGATTTAATATTTTTTAAAAATTTTTTATTGTAATAAAAAAAATTAGATATGATATTTTTTTAAAATTTTTTATTATAAAAATTTAAAATTAAAAATTTAAATCGGTGAAATTAACGAACTTAAATTTCAATCGAATTAAATCTCGTGTTCCTAAGTTTTAGTCCCGTTCATTTCACCGACAAATTTCCGTTCGATGCTTTATGAAGCTGTCGCCTTCTCCGTTAGTGAAGAAATCATGTACTTCGATTAAACTTTTTTCGTTTCATTCAAACATCTCCAAAACCCAGATATGTAAAATTAAAAAAAAAAAAAAAAACAGATTCAATCTTATTCAAACAACGCTGCCCCTCCGAGGCCATCCAACCTCATTGTTGAGCAACCCACCCCAGTCACCGCCATGGAACTCAAGCCAAGCCGACCCATCCCCTGCTTGCAACCCTTCGCTTCACACCCCTCGCAACCCAAGTCGAACTTCCCTCTTCCCTTTGCAGCAGCCCCTTTCGGCAACAGAGCCCCACCTGTGCAATGATCCCCTCAAGCTGATGGATCATGGAACATACACATGGAGAAGACGATGCTTTAGGGTCATATGTTTGTTTATTTTTTAAAATAGTCTGATCTGCTTTTTTTGTTTGTTTTTATTAGTCTTCAAAATATTATTCGTATTTTGTGGATGTGTTTATTAATTTTTGTTAATAATTAATCTCTTTTGATCAGTTTAATTTTTATTTTTAACGTTATAATGAGTGTCACGTCAGTCAAAAATTAGAATGGTAGATGGGAGTGGATGAAGAGAATATTTTAAACGATTTTTTATATATTAAAAAATATTTTAAACTGTTTTAAAAAATTATAAACACTTAAAATAAAGTACATAAGATATTTATAAAAATAATCATATTCTTGATTCTATTTCCTCCTTTTCTCTTTTTTTTTTTTTTATTCATTATCATTGCAGGCCTCATATTATTTTTAAATATGTCTTGTAATCCCTACACCACAACACACTTAATCAAAAACTTAGCATGCCCTCAACGAAAACCAATCGTCCATAAAGCATCGAACGGCTATAGTAATTGTACCGGACTAGTCAGCAAAATTGGGATTTTCAATGGGAGACAATTCTTATAAAATATATACGTTAATTTAAATTCTTAATTTAAATTGATTTATAATTTTATGTAAAATTTTTTTATTATAATAAAAAAATTAAATATAATTATTTTTTAGAATTTTAAACTTAAAAGAGTTGAAATGAACGGAGCTGTTTAATTATCATTTTATACGGTTGGCAGTCTCTTAGCTGAGCCCATAACTTGCTGTTTAACTTGCGGCATAGGGTAGGATTGACGTATGGATGGCGTCAGATATCATGCTTTCTTCTTTATTACAACACTTGGCATAAATATTAACTCTTTTTTTTTTTTTAAGCCATTAATTTTTGGACGCAAAGTAATAAACCTACCGACCAACTCAATTACTTTTGGAACATAAAATGAATAAATTAGTTACCACGCTGAAGATCTATAATTAACAAACCCAATGTGGGAAATGGCTTTCTTAGTTCAACAAGATAAGAACCCATATTTGACTAGAGTCAACTCTGATGTATTGTATGG